TGGTCTTTTGTACCTCATGCCGGACTCAAACCCAAAACCACCTTCCCCGGGTTTACTACTTACACACTGATGCTGCCCGCACTGGCGACTGCATTTCTGCCGAGGAAGAGAAAAAGCTCCAGGACGTGGTCCACACCCTGCCACAAGCCAAGGGGACCCCAAAGCTGCAGGTGCTGGAAAGCAAAGTCATGGTCTCCCCAGACAGGCCGTGCAAAGAGGGCATCAGGGTGCACAGGACACTGCGCCTGAGCCACGGCTTCATCGATTGCTTCCCAGGATCCTTTGTGTCCCAGGCGTGCTGCAGCTGCAGCGCCTCTGAGACTGCGCACCTTGCCACCGCCCAGTGGACAAGTATGCACTTAGATGCGCAAGGACATGAAGCCCCGCCTTCTAGCAAGGCGGTTTTCCATGGAGACATTACTGTACCATATTGCACAGGCAGAAGCAAAAAGGGAAAACGGCTCCACTCTTAATACCATCTTGGGCCCTTCCGGAGGAGCTGAGGGTTGCAGAGCTGCGGCAGGGGAGGCGGCTGTTGGAGGCTGGCCTCTACTCTCTGGCAGCCGCCAGCAACAGCGATGTGGCGGATGGGAAGAAAAAGCCTCAGAAGAAAAAAGTTGCAGTTGGAGACCTCAGACAGGAGGTGTCAGATCTACCGGCGCTTGTGAAACCTGTCCACGGTGGGACAGGAGAATAAAAATGCGACTGTGCTCTGCCAGGGGTGTGCTCTGTGCCCCGTTGTCCCTTCTAGATGCTAACACAGCACTTTGTTCTCTCACCACAGCACTTGACACACTACTAAAACATACATGTTTATTACTTATTTGTGTCCTTTATAGACTATTAAGTTCTATGAGGGCAGAAACCTTGTCTTTTCCAAATTATATCTGAGTGCCTAGCACACTGCTTGGCATGTCCTCCCAGATACTCCACAAATATATCTTGAATGGGGAATTCTCTTCTATGTGGTATATCTATTCCAGAGTCTGTTTCAAAAGTTAATCACTTCAGAATCAAAGGTTTTGTTCTCAATATTTACCTGGACTTTCAGCTTAGCTCCAGGTGCGGTTGACACAAAATCGTTAGATAGGACAAGGGTCTCAAGGTTTGGACCATTCTTACTAAAGGCTATTTTTGCTAAAAGTGAAAAGGTAACACGGTATTTTGCAGACCAGCTGTAAACCGGATAAGCTGAAAGGAACACAACCTGATAAGTGTAGCCAACTTCAAAAAGAAGACATCAACATGTAATTGACCAAATAGTGTATACCAACAATGGCTAAGCCTCCTTCTGGGAGGCAGAGGTGTGGATATAAATTCCTTGTCTCCTTTACTTGCTGCTAGAAAATTAAACTACCTTGTAACAACCATGTCTTGATTTTTAATAGAGCACCCCAAGTGGTGAACCCCTTGAGTTCAGTACTAAAATGTTCCCCAATCTCTATCAGTACTGAGTTCAGTAGAAAAAAATGAATAAAAACAAAATATACTCAAATATTCAAAATACATTGAATATAGCTATTCTCCATATATAGGCTATATTTAATGAATTATTGAGGAATCAGAACGGTTCCATCGGGGAACACAGACTGAACAAAGGAATCAGAGGAATGTTTGGGTTGATAAAGAGGCGGGCAATGATGAGACCACTCTAACGGATTTATAAGATTTACTTGGGCCCTAGCCGGTTTGGCTCGGTGGATAGAGCGTCAGCCTGCGGACTGAAGGGTCCCAGGTTCGATTCTGGTCAAGGGCATGTACCTTGGTTTCGGGCACATCCCTAGTAGGAGGTGTGCAGGAGGCAGCTGATCAGCGTTTCTCTCTCATCGATGTTTCTAACTCTCTATCTCTCTCCCTTCCTCTCTGTAAAAAATCAATAAAATATATTTAAAAAAAAAAAGATTTACTTGGACAACAGTGGGAAATACGGTTCAGTGGGTAGAGTAGGACTAGAATGTAGAGAATCTCATAATTCAGGCTCAACCAAGTGAGTCATCTTTCTAAGTGGACATCTAAGACGCAAGTGTAACATTCAACTAAAGGAGATATGGTGGGTTCCTAATGAGTTTCAGGATCTCTGGTTACAAACCTTCTGCTGAATTAGTAGATTCCGTGAATCATCCTTATGTGGCAGCAGGTCCTTGAGGTGCATTTCTGGGACCTTCTATGTAATGCTTTTTGAGATTAGAGACTTTCAGGGGCCAAAAAAAAAATGCAAGCTGACTCTCTTGAGTCTTGTGAGAGAAAATAACATTACACTTAATAAAAGAAAATCTCATTATTCTAGGCCAGTGGTTCTGAACCTTGGCTGCACATTAGAATCACCTGGGGATCTTTTTAAAATCCTGATTTCTGGGCCTCATCCTCCAGAAATTCTGTTTCTTTGTTATGGGGTGGGGCCACAACATTAGTAACAAAGAAACAATTTCTGGAGGATGAGGCCCAGAAATCAGGATTTTAAAAAGATTCCCAGGTGATTCTAATGTGCCGGGTGGGGAAAATGTTTTTGGAGGAATTCTTGGTGGGAAATTGTTTTTATAAGGGGGTGGAATCCAAGCTCAAAGGGTACTTAATTCCGAGGACGATGTCTCACAAGTCACTCTCACAAAATTACAAGTTAGAGTCACCGCCCCCCCGCGAGCCCCCCTTTTATTGGTTTCCAGACTCAACTGTGAGGCAAAATTACTTAGGAAGTTTTCTAGAGTTTTTTTTTTAAAGACTAGTTTATTGATTTTTAGAGAGAGGAAGGGATAAGAGAGCAACATCGATGCAACATCAATCGGATCCCTCTGGGCATGCCCTCTACAGTGGATCGACCCACAATCCAGGCATGTGCCCTGACCTGGAATCCAACTAGCAACTTCTTAGTGCCTGGGATGATGCCCAACCAACTGAGCCACACCAGCCAGGGCAAGTTTTCTAGGTCTTCCCTCTATCATCCTATGAACAATATGTAGAAAAAGGGCAGTGCACTTAGAGTAATGAGAGAGTCACTGCCTCACAATACAGTGGGGCCTTGACTTACGAGTTTAATTCGTTCCAAGACCGAGCTCGTTAAGGAGCTCGTTAAGGAGCTCATTAACTCAAATTACTCTATCAACTCAATGCAAAAAATCTGCCGAGAGACAGCTGGTATCTCAAAAAACTCGTTAGTCGGGACACTCATAAGTCAAGGCCCCACTGTATTTAGTTCAAAATGCAGTGGAAGTTAAATTGATGCCCAATTATTTGGCAGGTGTTGAAACACCTTTTATTTAATGCTGGTAACATTCCTATATAAATGTCCTATTCAGGGCACATAGTTCTCTCACATGTCTTTGACGGTAAGATAGGCTCGCATAGCAACCAAGTTCTTTTCCTTTTCCTTTGACACCCTAACCAAATTCTAGGTTATTTATATATTATTTGTTTAATGTATTCTCCAATCCCCCATCTTTACCATACCACATGACTTTTACCTCTTTAAATATAAGGATTGTGTTAGCCATTTGGATCAAGGCTCGGCAAACTTCAGCTGCTATGCCAAAACCATCCTACCATCTGTATTTGCATGGCCTGCAAACTAAGAATATTTTTACATTTTTAAACTGTTGTAAAAAAATCAAATTCAAAAGAAAAATAATGTGTTTGACATGTAAAACATAAAATTCAAATATCAGTGTCCATAAATAAAGTTTTATTGCCACACAGCCATGCTTATTTACTTATGTATTCCTATGGCTGTTTTGATATTCCAATGTCAAATTTAAGGAGTTACAATAGAGACTGTACAGTGCACAGTCAAAAGTATTTACTATCTGGCCCTTACAGTTCACCAATCCCAGTTAGAGCATAACTACACCTCTAGCACCTGAAACTTTATAAGTGATTATTAACTATATGTTAAATTAACTGTTGAATTAGGGAATATGAAAGCACATGGCTGAACAAAGAAAAGGATGAAACAATAAGGTTTTAAATATTTCATTGAAAACTTAAAATAAATGAAGATTGGAATCAAAATGTACTTTGTGGTTATTTTATAAACAGGGTCAAATTTACTAAAAATATATCAGTAAGTTACTAATCTCCTAACATTAACGTAATTAGAGTTTTCATAAGGCCTATAGAGGGATGGGAAGGGAAGGAGGCTCTGAGAATGCCCTACTACACTCATAGTCACTTATAGCGCCTACTGCAAATACCATCTTCTTGAATTATTCAATGCTGGTTAGTAACATACTCAATATTCACTTGCAGGGCAAATATTAAATTAAGATGGTAAGTACAAGTACACTTAATGTTTCTTAGTTAATAGAACAGGTTAAAATTGTTTTTCAAACACTACAGTTGACTCTTGAACAACATGGGGGTATGGGAGCCAACACCTCTCCTCTTTTGGAGTTGAAAATTCGTATATAACTTTTGACTTCCCCAAAACTCAACTCCAGTTGGACCTTTGCATCAGGGGACTCTACCAAGCATGGATAGAAAACAGTCTTTTCCAGTCTGTGAATCTGCGGTTGGGAATCTGCAGTTGGAAATCATCTACAGTTGGGAATGAGAAAAAGCTGTTTTCCACCACAGGTTTGTTCAATCTGCAAATGCCAAACTGAGAATAGGTAGGGCGGGCTGTATTTAAATATAGAAAAACAAAAACAAAAACAAAAACACTCAGTTCAACCCCATATTGTTAAAGGGTCAACTGTATACAGTCCCCCCAAGAAATGTATGCACACTTTAACAGCTGAGAGCTCAATTTTGAAAAGGAAATACATTTTAATAAACTCTGCCTTTATAATTATTCAAAGTGTAGGTATACATTTTTGGGGACCCCCCATATTTGTTTACCTTAATGTTTCTCCCAATTTGTAAATTAGTAGTATTAGGCTAACACACACAAAACATTACCGCTCACAGCAATTCTGTGTATGTTGTCTTTCAAAACAGAAGTAACCTGATTTCCAGTGTTTCTGGCCTTCCTGTGGAAAGCAGACAGGGTGTATGAAGACTATTCAAATATGTCAGAGACTTCCTCCCATGACTCCTTCTATGATTCCCTATCAGACATGCAGGAAGAAAGCAAGAGTGCTGACTTCTTCCCTGAGCTCTCCGCTTTTCTCAGCCAGGAAGAGATCAACAAGAGCCTTGACCTGGCCCGGAGAGCCATAGCCAACTCCGAGACAGAAGATTGTGACTCGGAGAAGGAGATCTCGCAGATTTTCAGCACCTCTCCTGCAGGCCTCTGTGAACACCCTTCCCGCAAGGAGACCAAATCGGGGGAGCCCACCTCCTCGGAAAGACCTCCAGATAACAGGCCAGAGCAGACTGAGGGGCTCTCCTCCCAGGGCTCCAAGAGGAAACCTGCCCTCTCACCCCTGCTCGCCAGACCCAGCTACATCCGGAGCCTCCGAAAGGCTGAAAAGCGCGGCGCCAACACTCCGGGCGCAGGTGGAAAGCCCGCACCGGCTTATCGGAGTGAGCCTGGCCCCCAGAGCCAGCTGTGTGACAAGGCGGCTAATTTCATCGAGGAGCTGACATCCATATTTAGAGAAGCGGCCAAGCCGAGAAACAGGAGCCCAAACGGGGAGTCCTCGTCACCAGACAGTGGGTACCTGTCTCCCAAAAATCAGCCGTCAGCCCCGAGGAGTGCCTCTGCCAGCCAGAGCCCCACCGAGGACCAGCAAGAAATGGAAGCGGAGGTCAAGTTACCCGAAGCCAGGCCCTGCTACCCTGCAGACCGGGAGGAGGAGGTGCCGGGCGGTAGCATCCCTCAGCCCCAGCCCCAGCCCCAGAGCGCACCCCACTTCTCCTCGGCCCCTCGCTTCATCCAGAAGCTGCGGAGCCAAGAAGTGGCAGAAGGAAGCAGAGTTTATTTGGAGTGTCGAGTCACTGGAAACCCAGCTCCTCGAGTCAGGTAAGAATGTTTTAATGTTGAATTGTCAAATGAGTGGTGTTGAGTTTTGATTTTGCTTTAATGTGGGAGGAGAAGAGGGTTCCGGTCTGGTTAGCCCTCTGGAGCCTGAGGTGTTGTTTTCAGGTACCTGCTCAGCGAAAGCCATCCCAGAATTGCAAATACTGTTGACCTCCGTGTCCCTGGTGGGTGGGATATACTAGTATTTGTTGTCATGAACCACCTAATACCTGGGGAAGGCAAAGGACCGGACAGGCATAGAGAGTACAAACAGTTTGTTATATTGGACTCTGGAATTCATAACAGCCAGGGAAACTTAAAATGTGCAACTGAGTTACTCAACGTACTGTGAAAAGTGTGTGCCTGATTGGAATGAGTTGCTGAAGATGGCTGACAGTGTGGCTAAAGCTCGAAGTTGTCTGGGGATACACAGACGAAAGGCACAGGTGTACCGAGGCCAACCACAAGAATAGCCACTGAGTGTATAATCTGGTCTAAGCCTGGGCTCAATTGGCACATTTTCACTTAAGATAATCACTCCCACACGCCTTTGTGCAAGCAAAGAGGGCAGAACGTTCCTAACAAAATTAAACCAAAGTGGGAGCGCTACAGTTCTGTTATTCGAGCACAGGCTGCACACACTAGAGCCTGGGGCCCAGAAAAGAGTAACAGTTACATGAGCGTGCAGTTAGTTGGCATCAATAAACATATCACCATGTCCATTATAATTTCTATAAATTCTTCCTCCTTCATTGCAGAGTTTTTTCCTTCTGTGCAAAAGGTTAAGAGGAGGGATCCTGGAGTCAGACTGCAGGGTTTCCAGTCATGGCTCCACCTTTTGACCAAGTAGACAAGTTATACTCTGGGACCCAGTTTCTTCATCTGTGAAATGGAAATCCTAATAATACCTACCAAATTCTATTTCATGATGCCTAAATATAATCATATGTGAAAGAGTAAAACAAGGCCTTGCACTAGTGGCTCTACATTGGCATCACCTATTCTTTTTATTATTTCTCATTTCTTAAGTTTATGTGCCAAAATAAAAGTAACATTTCAAGCTAGGATTATACTGTAAAAAAATAAGCCATTTATTTTCAAAGTTTTGCTTTTATTAATGAGAAGTGTTTTACCGAAATTACATAAATATTAAAAAGTAAATTCAAAATTATGAAATTTGGAGAAATTATAAAGGACATCTTTGTCTAAAATGCATTGATATAGTATTTCACAAAACACAAACTTTATTCCTCATCCTATATCCACTAATAGATACTTTGCTAGAGTTGTTTGTTTGTTTGTTTTGACAAATCATTGCTCACAAAAATGGTGTAAGCATTAGCATAACTGGCTAAAAGGTGGTATAATTAGAGGCAGGGAATTTTTTTCCCAACCAGTTTGTTCAACTAATTCACCCTAAGTCAATTTTTACAGTAATTTGACTATATTTCTTTTAGAAACTGACAGCAGGGGGCAGTAATAAACTTCTTAATGGGTTCATTCAATTAAATATGTCATCCTAAATTCTGTCATTTTAATACTTATCTTTTCCATTAAAATATGTCTTATAGTTTTGTCTAAAACAGAAATAAAATTGAGTATTTCTTTTGGATTCTATTTAAAATTTTTTAAAACCCACTAATCTTGGGAACAAATCATTCTTCATTAGAAATATAGTCACATGTCAAACAGTTCCACAGGTTTTCAAACTACATATGACTCCATTTACATTTACCTCCAAAATAGGCCCCTTCCAAATGTATTACCATGGCAAGTAAGTATACCACTCCCTTTCAAAAATGACAAAATCAACCCATTTAACATCAAAGGATTAATTCAACTGTACCAAAGTTCACGTAACCATTTGGTAATTTGAGGGGCCATCAAATTCATGCGTCTGCCTCTTTTTTTCTTTATGGAAACAGGAAGGCATTAATTTAATTGGTAGCTACAGAATTATTAACTAGTTTTCTCTGGTCATCTCTCTGTCCACCAAAGCCCAGGACCAATGTTCATTAGTCATTACAAGTTGTGCTCTTCTTGAGTGATTAAGTTTTGATGAGAATGCTCCATTGTTTAAATGACCATAGTTAGCTGATCATTTTTATATCCTTCTGAGTTTGGGGATGTTGGGGGGTTTTGGATGGTTTTTGTGTGTTTGTTTGTTCAGTTGGTTGGTTGGTTTTTGAGGGGCAAAGTAAATGAGCATTGGATTCTCTTAATTTCTGTTCTAAAGATACTGGTCATGCCATGGATTTGTAAGTGCACCAAATGCCGAAGAACATTCACTGAGTTCCTTTTCTGCATGAGACATGGCAGTCTAATGAGAAAATCATCTTTGAAGGAAATTTTGTGTAAGGAAGACCTTTAAGAAAGAGTTGCTGCACTGGGGCATTTTAGAACCTGACTCATACTGACTAGTCCAGGGGACTCGGAAGTAGAGATTAGGTGGACCTATTGGTTAGTAGGCCACCTCCGAAGGTTCCAGAAGCAGGTGACAGAACTTGTGGGGAAAGGCCTCTATAAGCAGAGGCCCAACAGACTCTGGCTGTTCATTCAGTGTTGAGAAGTTGGCAGCTGTACGGGAGGTGAGTGAGGTGAGTGCAGTTGGCATTGGTAAAATCCAGACTTACTTAAAAATAATGCACCACAGGAAAATATGGAAGCAGGTATCAGGTTGCAGATACAGGGAGGGGACTGGAGCACAGGGAGAAAATTCTGCCCTTTAAGCATTTAGGTGAGTAAAGGGCAAGGCTACTTACTGATTCAAAAGGACAGAGCAGGAAGTAGAGACTTAGACATGACTAAATGAGGCAGGACTTTAGTAACTAAACTTGTGCTGGGTCCAGAATAGGGAAATAAATTGCTAGACTGACAAGGCTGGGCTACTATGCTGCTGGTCTGTAGTTTCTTAAATTTTGCCTAAATAGAAAGCATTTGGTCTGGGAACCTGGACATAGTGAAACTCACAGATGTAGATGAAGTAGCCCAGCTAAAGGAAAGATTAATGGGAACAGTAGGATCAAAGCCAGGCCAGTCATCTCAAGACATTTCTACTTTATGTACAATCACTTCACCTTCCCAAAAATATAACTGGCACAAGATACCAGTTATCATCATAAATAGGACTGAAAAAATTCTATTTTCCTCCTCTGTTCTTGCATAGTTCCAACAAAAACTCAACAAAAGAGAGGAAAACTGATGGAAGAAAAACTTATGTGTAATTGAAGTTATATACAATTTAGATAACACTCAGTTATATACAATTTAGACACTACTCAAATTATAGGCAAATTATTTGATGACAATTTTAATTATTACATTAAATTTTTAAAAGTCAGAATTTCCCTACATCACTCACCTTTCCTGTTCTCAACTTTAGTTAGTTGGGGAAAAATTCATAAAGGATTTTAGTTTAAAATTACCTATAGTAATTTATAAAAATAAGGCCTTATGTTTTCAGTTTATACTTAATATTTTATTCTGGTAACCATATATTTTAAAGCATGTAAATAAAAGGAAATTAAGATTTAAATTATTTGCCTAGTAACAGAAAATCATTATTAGTTGTAGAGACTGGATTATAACTCAGGTTTTCTGATTCCTGATCATGTCCTGTAGTGATTCCAAGAAGATTTAACTACTGTCACTGTTGTTTTGCTGCTTGTGCAAGGCTTACTGACAAGCTCCAGAAATAAAGATAAGTGGAATTGATATGTTAAAAAATCTCTTAGGATTGGAATTCATATTCTGAATATCTTTAAAGAAATGGTGTCCTAATAATTTCCATGATATTGTTCTATATTTAAAGAACATAGCAATTTACAGTTTCTCTCTCTCCAATAAGTTAATACTATAAAACAATTCAATCACTCATATAACTAACTCCAAACAAAACATCATTTCCAATTTATGAACAGTAGTCCAAACCATCCTTATATTCAAATTACATTGTAAGGTAAATATGAACATACTCCTAAGGAAAAAAAATCTACTTTAAACACCCACTCTTTGCAGTAAAAATGGGAGCTAGCAATAGTCCAGCCATGTTTAATATTCTAAGTATAATTACTCATAGCTAATCATATCATGCCTATTAGGTTGTCATTATTAGCTCAGGAAAGATTCAATTAATGTACACATAAAAGCAATTAAATTATTTCATTTTATAATCAAAACTCAGCATGTCCAATGTCTCCAATTAGTTTACATTAGCGAGACTTTGATCATCATCAAAGGCCAGAGCAAGAAGATTAGCCATATCAAAACTGCAATGCTCTCTGTAGAAATTTCCATCTCCCCCAAAGAAAATAGAAATATATACAGGCTGCCAATTCACTTTTCTTACTAATGTCATGTGGTATATGTGGTACCTGAGCGGGTATCAAACCATGACCTTCTGGTTCATAGGTCGACACTCAACCACTAGGCCACGCTGGCTGGGCTGGCATGGTTCTTTTAATAAAACTGTGATCACAACACAGTGCAAAGCAATCCAGTGCCTTCTCATCTCAGTCAGAGTAGAATCTATAGTCCTTAGAAGCATCAATAAGGCCCCCTTTCTCTGACTTCATCTCCTACTACTCACCCTGTTAGTCCACTCCAGCCACAGCGGTGTCCTGGCTGTACTCCAATGTGCCAGGCATGCTCCTGTCTCAGGGCCTGTGCTCTTGCTGTTTCCTCTACTCAGAATGCTCTTCCCCCAGATATATGCAGGGTTGGATTCTTCATCTCCTTTATACCTCTCCTTAAGTATCACCTGCAGAGTATATAGCCTTCTTTGACTACCTATGTAAAAAGAACACTCTCTATTACTCTCTGGTTTTGTTTTTCTCCATAGAACTTACCTGACGCGCTCTACATTTTACTTCTTTAATTTTGTTTGTTTTGTCTGTCTCCCTTGGTAGAATATAAATTCCTTGAGTATAGGGACTTCCATGTGATTCTTACTGCTGTGTCCCTAGGCCTAGAATGGTGCCAGGAATGTAATAGGTGCTCAAGAA